TGTTCCCAAACCGATTTTAATATAAGCTGGGGCCCCTTCTGCTTCAGAATCTCCAGATATGGCTTTTGCCCCTACTCCTAGGTGAGGACTGATTACCTCATCTTCTGTACATAGTTCTACTGTAAACAAACAAGTCATAGTTCTACTGTCTTCAAGTTATGTCCTAGAATTTGTATTGATAAAGCCACTGGATGGCGAAACGTCTACAATAAAGATACCCAGATGTTGCACATGTGTCTTAATCTCATCTTGTCGGTATTATATACCATTCGTACACAACAAATTCCAGGACATAACTTGAAGACAGTAGAACTATGTACAGAAGATGAGGTAATCAGTCCCTCAACCTAGGAGTAGGTGCGAACAGCACCATAGTCGTGGAGATTCTGAAGCAGAAGAAAGAATCCTGGCGCTTATATAGTAACGTCAGGTGAAGCAGACGAGGGCAAACTCACTGGTGGGCGGGATTCCCCAGTGGAAGTAGGTCCTTCCCAAAGAGATGGGTTAGTTGTAGTAGTAGTTGTCGTAGTTGTGAAGGTTATTTACATGTCCTCAGAATTAAGATTCCATGATGTTGCAGTGTCTGACAAGTTGTGTACGAATGGTATATAATACTGACAAGATGAGAGTAAGACACATGTGCAGCATCTGGGTATCTTTATTGCAGACGTTTCGCCATCCAGTGGCTTTATCAATACAAATTCTAGGACATAACTTGAAGACAGTAGAACTATGTACAGAAGATGAGGTAATCAGTCCCTCAACCTAGGAGTAGGTGCGAACAGCACCATAGTCGTGGAGATTCTGAAGCAGAAGAAAGAATCCTGGCGTTTATATAGTAACGTCAGGTGAAGCAGACGAGGGCAAATTCACTGGTGGGCGGGATTCCCCAGTGGAAGTAGGTCCTTCGCAAAGAGATGGGTTAGTTGTAGTAGTAGTTGTCGTAGTTGTGAAGGTTATGTACATGTCCTCAGAATTAAGATTCCATGATGTTGCAGTGTCTGACAAGTTGTGTACGAATGGTATATAATACCGACAAGATGAGAGTAAGACACATGTGCAACATCTGGGTATCTTTATTGTAGACGTTTCGCCATCCAGTGGCTTTATCATTACAAATTCCAGGACATAACTTGAAGACAGTAGAACTATGTACAGAAGATGAGGTAATCAGTCCCTCAACCTAGTAGTAGGTGCGAACAGCACCATAGTCGTTACTATATAAGCGCCAGGATTCTTTCTTCTGCTTCAGAATCTCCACGACTATGGTGCTGTTCGCACCTACTCCTAGGTTGAGGGACTGATTACCTCATCTTCTGTACATAGTTCTACTGTCTTCAAGTTATGTCCTAGAATTTGTATTGATAAAGCCACTGGATGGCGAAACGTCTACAATAAAGATACCCAGATGTTGCACATGTGTCTTACTCTCATCTTGTCGGTATTATATACCATTCGTACACAATTTGTCAGACACTGCAACATCATGGAATCTTAATTCTGAGGACATGTACATAACCTTCACAACTACGACAACTACTACTACAACTAACCCATCTCTTTGGGAAGGACCTACTTCCACTGGGGAATCCCGCCCACCAGTGAATTTGCCCTCGTCTGCTTCACCTGACGTTACTATATAAGCGCCTGGATTCTTTCTTCTGCTTCAGAATCTCCACGACTATGGTGCTGTTCGCACCTACTCCTAGGTTGAGGGACTGATTACCTCATCTTCTGTACATAGTTCTACTGTCTTCAAGTTATATCCTGGAATTTGTATTGATAAAGCCACTGGATGGCGAAACGTCTACAATAAAGATACCCAGATGTTGCACATGTGTCTTACTCACATTGCTGTCTTGGTTTAAGGTTGCTGCTTACCATAACCCCCAAGTCCTTTTCGCAATCTGTATGGCTAAGTTCTACATTATTTAACTTATAAGTGCTAGGGTTATGGACACTCCCGAGCTTCAGAACCTTGCATTTATCTACATTGAACTGCATCTGCCACTTTTCTGACCAAGAGTAGAGTTTGTCTAAATCCTCCTGAAGTTCCCTAACATCTACGTTTGAATCAATTATCCTACCTATCTTCGTGTCATCGGCGAGTTTGCTCATATCACTAGTAATTCCTTCATCAAGATCATTGATATATATTATAAACAACAACGGGCCCAAGACTGATCCCTGTGGAACGCCACTTGTTACTGATCCCCACTCGGATTTAACCCCATTTATGGACACTCTCTGCTTCCTGTCTGTGAGCCATGATTCGATCCACGAGAGCACTCTTCCCCAATGCCCCTGAGCTGCTACTTTCTTCAACAATCTTCGGTGCGGAACTCTATCAAATGCCTTACTAAAATCTAAGTAAATAATATCAAATTCTTTATTGTGGTCAACAGCCTCAAAAGCTTTACTGAAGAAAGTTAATAAATTAGTTAGACAAGACCGGCCTCTTGTGAATCCATGCTGAGTATCATCAATCAAGCTATGCTTATCGAGATGGTTTCTTATAATCTCAGCAATAATTGACTCTAGTAATTTGCCTACAATTGAGTTCAGGCTTATTGGGCGGTAATTTGACGGTAACGACTTGTCCCCTGTTTTAAAAATAGGAATTACGTTAGCCATCTTCCACATATCAGACACTACACCTGTTTGAAGAGATAAATTAAAATATTAGTTAATGGTTCACAGACTTCCATTTGCATTCCTTTAGAACCCTTGAAAAAACCTCATCAGACCCGGTGACTTATTTTGCTTCAGTCGGTCTATCTGCTTCACAACCATTTCACTAGTGACTATGATGTTACATAATTTATCTTCTTCTGGCCCACTATAGAAATTAATTACCGGAATATTATTTGTGTCTTCCTGTGTAAAAACCGAGAGAAAATAATTATTTAAAATCGAGCACATTTCATTCTCTTTGTCAGTAAGATGCCCATAGTTATTTTTAAGGGGACCTATCTTATCTCTGACTTTTGTTCTATATACCTGGAAAAAACTTTTTGGGTTAGTTTTAGAATCCCTAGCAACTTTAATTTCATAGTCCCTTTTAGCTTTCTTATCCCCTTTTTAATGTCCCTCTTAATGTCAATATACTGATTCATAAGATGACCCTCGCCTCTTTTGATACGCCTATAAATTCCTTTCTTATGCCCTAGTAGATATTTCAGCCTATATTCATCCATTTTGGATCATTTCTATTTGATCTAATTTCTTTATAAGGGATAAATGTTCTTTGAGCAGCATGTATTGTGTTCAGAAAACTGTCATATTGATAGCTCTCTTCGTTACCCCAGTCAACAGATGATAAGTGTTCTCTAGCCTTCGTAATCTGCTAAGCGAAAATCTGGGACTGTTACTGAGTTATCCCTACTATCATACTTCCATTCAATTCTAAATGTAATTGATTTGTGGTCGCTAGCACCCAGTTCCTCTGAAACTCTAAATTATTAACAAGGGATTCATTGTTTGCCAGAACTAAGTCAAGCAGGTTATTTACCCCTTGTAGGTTCTCTCACAAACTGCTTCAAAAAAACAATCCTGAACTACTTCTAAGAAGTCGTAATGATTCTAAATTCCCAGTCAAGAAATTCTAATCAATATGACTAAAGTTAAAGTCTCCCAGAATTACTACATTATCGTGCCTTGTGGCCCTAACAATTTCCTCCCATAGTAGTCTCCCTGGTCCCTATCTAAATTTGGGGGACGGTATATCACACCTAAAGTTAATTTTTCATGCCCTCTGAAAATCTATCCAAAACAGACTCTGTATGTGTTACTTCAGACTTAATACCCGTTTTTATGCAACAGTTCAAGCGATCTCGGACATACAATGCCACCCCACCCCCCCTTCCTGATGCTTCTATCTACTTGGAACAATTTGAAACCCTGAATGTGACATTCTGCAGGCATGTCCCGACTTTTTGAATTAAACCACGTCTCAGTAATGGGAAATATATCTATGTTACCTGCACTAGCAACTAGTCTCAACTCGTCCATCTTATTCCTAGCACTGCGACTATTTGTGTAATATATACTTAAGGACCCTCCTTTCTCTTTACCATTCCTGCTCCTTTCTGTTAT